GTTGGCTGATGAAATTAATGGAGCTATGCTGATTTACACCTGTTTGGCCCATAATGGTCCCTGTACATTTTCAGTGCTGAAGCCTGCAAGGTGTGGTTTGCACCACACAAACATTTGCACCACAAACATCCACTCTATATGAAGTCCATCAAATGGAAAATCCAGACCAGTTTTGATTTTCAGATCATAACCTTTGATAATGCTTCAGACCCCTAGAAAAACAGTTTCCCCCCACACACACCTCATGGGAAATTATTCACAAATAGAGCTGTGTGCAGTGTTCTTTCTCTCTCTCACACACACACACCCCAACCCCTCCTTGGCTGTCTAGGTTTCAGCTTCATTGCATATTCAGTATTCAGGGCAGGTTTGTCAAAGCACTGTGACTAATCCTTTTGTGAAACCACATGTGTGACTGAGGCAATGCTCAGAGCTGGACCTCAGTTAGACAATGATTTGGGGCTCAGTTCTGAGACCACATCAAGGAAAGGGGATGATCCTGAAAACGGATGCGTGCTTTTCATCAAATTTCTACCACATGGGGTCAAAATAAGAGCTGGTTTTGTTTTTTGTTTTTTGTTTTGATTTGCTGGCAATTCTGAAAAGTCGGGGTGGGGGGGAAAGAGGTTATTTTTCTTGCCTTGATGTTCAAGTCTTGGGAAGATCATCAAAATAGCCAACAACGTTTTGGGCAGCCAGAATCACATTTTGTACTCTGTCATTCAAACTCAAGAAGGGAAACACCTCATCAGCCCATTGTTTGAGCTCTTTTATTTTAATGCTCTGATTGACAGATGAAATTTTTCCATATACTGTCGTGAGCTGTTTTCAGTGGTTTCTTGCAGTGCCTTCAGTGAAAGAAATCCAATAATCAGTGATTTGCTATGTTATGTGGTGTCTGTTGATGCTGGTCCATAAGGCTGTTCCTCCTTTCTCTCTCTTTCCCTGTGAAGCTGTCTAATTGGTGCTCCTTACATGCTGTTATGCAGTGAGGGATTTTAATTCCAGGATAATATTGTGCAAGGATCATGCTAATAATAATTCCTTGCACTTCTCTGGCACCTTCCAAAGCACTTTGCAAACATCAGTGAATTCAGTCTCACAGCATCCCATTATTCCCACTATACATGGGGGCAAATAGAGCCATAACGAGTCATGCACATAATGACACAGCATAAGTGGCAGAATTAGGAACAGAATTGCCTGACTCCCCAGTCCTAGACTTTCACCACTAGATCATGCTTCCCCTCTCAAAGGTACTAATCTAAGAATTGTCCCTATGCCAGCAAAAATGATTGTGAATAAAGAAAAGACCTAAATTTGGCAAATGTTGAGTTTGATTAATGCTAATCAATGAGCTCTACTTCCAAGTAAGGGGCTCTTTTACCCCTTTTATGATGCTTTGGATGCTCAACCTGCATCCAAACCAACTGTGCCTCTTATGTTTCCTCCTTCCACTGAGATCCAGGGAACTATGTGGCACCTGATTACATGTTAAAATGAGACCATGGTGACTCTGCCATATTGGAATAAATCAGTGATGCATCTAGTCCAGTATCCTGTCTCAGACTATGGCTAAAGGAGTAATATAAAAATCCAACTCTTTTCATCCTTCTCCCTGTAGGCATCAAATCTGAAGGCAGCTTTTCACACACACACACACTTTTGTGAAGTCATTCAGTATTTTTCTATTCACGTGTTAGTTGATATTGATACGGCACAAAACCGAAAGGCACCAGTTCAATAGGTCAAAAGAGCCACAAGCAAAATGTCAACCCCCCCACAATTTATTATCTAAATACAAGATTTTCGTGCTTAACTTTCCTCAACGTCTTCCTAAACCAGACACTATTTCCTAATGCAATTCCCCAACCATTTAGTTAAGCCCCTCTCCATCTCCCCCTCTCCAGGGAAAACCTGGGAAAAGAGGAGGACCGTTGCAAAGTGGACCAAATGGGGAAAACATGCAATAACTGTCTGTCTTTGTTTAGCTAATCTAATCTCTAACAGGGCCGCCCGGGGAGGGCAAAGGGGGCAATTTGCCCCGGGCCCCACAGGGCCCCCCACGAGAATATAGTATTCTATAGTATTGCAACTTTTTTTTTTATGGAAGGGGCCCCCGAAATTGCTTTGCCCCAGGCCCCCTGAATCCTCTGGGCGGCCCTGATCTCTAATCCAATGCATATACTCTATGGTGTGTGTGTATATATGAATACTTGTCAGTCCTTGTTATTTTCTTCATGATCATTTTATCTGGCAAGCACTGCACGTTTTATAGTCCAACAGAGCTGTGTGAGACTCATGGGTTGTCTTTTTCCCCATGTAATTTCAGGTGATATTTTGCCAGTTCATTTTAGGGCAATTATCAACCCTATAAATTTTGTGAATGTGACATTTCTGCCAACTAGCTATCTTTTCCGTTCGAAAAATACACTTTCTGAATTCTCACTCCTTTCCCATGCAAACCCGGTAAATCATCGCAAAAGACAATTGGGCATCCCATAAGTGCTCTTAGTTTCTAAGCAATACGGCAATGGCAGGAGATTACGGTAATGGCAAGGGATACTGCCTGCTACAGCAGCAGAGCAGTAAAGTTGCTGCTGCTTCTTGACAGTGTGGCGCTGAACATTGCAAGTGGTAGCGAGCAGAGGTTTCAGAGAAGCTGGCCCCAAGCCCCTCAGCCATTGGGACACAGGGAATTAGTGTAATTGTGAGTCATCAAAACACAAGGGGAGTTAAAAAGGGGGTGAAAGGCTGTTTGGAATCTCCGGCAGAGTTCCCCATCCCTGCATGCAGAGAGGAGACTGCAGTGCTGTGCTGTGGGCTGGCTGTGAATGTCCTTCCCAGATGCTCAGCAACAGGAGATGTGCAGCCTTCCAGGAGGTGAGTGTGGGTGAAGGGCAAAGATAGGGCAGAGTCTCACGTCTGGAGACTCTAGCACGCAGGGTGAGGGTCGGGACAGATGTTGGGCTGTTTGGAGCATATATGTATTACACCTCCTTCCTTTTCTACCTCGCTTACCTTTTTTCTGCCTTCTCCTTTCCTTTACTTGCTGGGAAGTTTTATTTCATGCACTTGGGAATGAAGTTTGATCATTTAATTCCCTGTTCCATCATCAGCCTTATAATAAATAAATAATAATATCAGAAGATGCTTAAAACTATGGGGGGGTTCATTTTTCATTTATGTGCTTATTCTTAAACCTTCCTTTTCCCTGGAGTAACTTGAGGTCCCATTCCCTCCTGTGGAAAGACAAATGTAAATGTAGCATTGGAAGGAAGACAAATTCCCACTGTGGAAACAAAGAGCCCTTTTCTTCCCCACCGCCCCTGTGCATCTGAATTGGGCATCTACAGGTGCTAAAATAAGACTTTTATTTTTATTTCCATCCCTGTAGAAAAATACACACTCCTGGGATTCGTAGATGAGAATATTTTTGCTGCTGGATTGTTGGGAGTGTGTTTAATCAGATGGGAGAGTTAATTTGCAAGACATAATACAGTGAGCTTGCCCATAAGAATTTACTGAGGTTCTTCTTATCTGGGAACTGAGGTCTGTGTTGCTATTGATGGCCTTTCAAATATCTGATCAGTGCTTGAACGGGAAACCTAGACCATCCCTAACGTTATAAGAGATGATTAGCTGTCACTTATAGCTAACCTTCATGCCCTTTTTGCTTCAAATTCCTATCTTCATTCTCACATTTCCATCTAATGTATCTTTTTTCCATCTTTATTCGGCCAAGGATGAATTTGGCCTCCAGATGTTTTGAAATGCTATTCCAGCCAGTAAAAACTCATTCTTTCTGCAACACCCCATCGATTTCACAAGTCACTTTCCCCTGTAGCTTTCTAAAATGTACAGCTTATCCCAATTAATGAGCAGTTTGATCTGTAAGGGACTCACTTTGGGGGATTCTAGACTCAATTCTGGACTTGCAGATTTGGTTCACAATCAGTTTTTAGTTCTGATTTCTGTCCCTTTGCATCTTTAATAAATGGTCCCTGTAGGCAAATTAATAATCAGGGTTGATTGCTTTACCCTCAGATCAATAGACGGCAGGCTTGTTCTGAACGTATAATATTGTTTCTTAGTTGGGGGTGTAGAGAGGTGGTCAGAAAAATTGATCAGGCAACAAAAATTCATATTGGTCTGTGTTGTCTGGAGCAACATCGGCCAAATAGCAGGGCTTCCACTGAGTGGAAGGGACTGGGATATTAATCTAATATCGTAGCTGATGGGGAGGGTTCACTAAAATAGATTCCCAGGCTCCAGAAAATATTTCTGCTTGGGAAACCACAGCAGTAGGTAGCCATGAGCTCTCTGAATCATGTTGTTCATGTCTTTTTACGTCCCTTAGGTGGGCCCCATGTCAGGGAAGAGCACGGTATCAAGGTGAAAACCTCCCCTTTCCTTTTGAGCCTACAACAAGCTGGTGTTAATAAGCCCAGATCCTCAGCCTAGGGGACCAAGTGGCAAGACAACAATTTTCCCAGAGGTTCATAAACTTCTGATCAACACGTCAAGACCATGAAGCCTGCTATAGATGAGCATCCTTCAGCTGGAAAATCACAGAGATGATAGGGCATCATTACCACTGCCGAGGTTTCTACAAAGCCAGGTGCGAAATAGAATTGCAACACAGAGAAGGCCAGCAAAAGTGTCACCAACTTCCTTTTAGGAGGAATCCAAATTAAGACACTGGGGATTTTTACATTATTCCCTTCAACTCTACAAACTGAGTCTTACGGTCTCCAAAAAGCAGGAATGATTTTGGCACTGCAGCTCCATTTCTCCTGAGACAGTTATCCTGGAAAGTAGGAGAGATGTCCTCATTGGTGCCCCTACTTTACACCATACAGCTGAGACCCCTGCATCCCAGGAAGAATCCAAAGGAGGCCAGACTTGGAAAGGCTTCAAAATTGGGGCTATGTTGCTAATTAGCTGCCAAAAGCCACCAGAAGAGCAGAAGCTTAGAGAGAATTTTATGGATTTTCCATTATGTTTCTGGATCGGTTGCTTATCCTGGTTTTGTGTTTCTAAGGCATTATTATTTTTGTTATTATTAATCATTATAATACCTTTTACCAACGGAGCTGGGAAAATGTTGCCTGCAAAACCTTCAAAGAGTCGATCTCAGCACTGTAAGCAGTAGAAAGTCGAGTGCAGCACAAGAGTTGGATGAACTTAATCTGCCAGCGACAATGGTTTTCCTCCCTTTAAATTCCTCTGACTGTTCAAATTGCACCCAGACTGTGGGGATAGTGAACAATTTTAAGGCCATATTATTAGGGGTTATTTTAGGGGGGCTGATTATTTTTGGGGTGCTGGGTAATATTCTGGTTATCCTCTCAGTAGCCTGCCACAGACACCTTCAGAGTGTCACCCATTACTACATAATCAACCTGGCTGTTGCGGACTTCCTCTTAACTTCCACTGTCCTGCCTTTCTCAGCAATCTTTGAGATTTTGGGCTACTGGGTCTTTGGGAGGATCTTCTGCAACATCTGGGCAGCTGTCGATGTCCTATGCTGCACGGCATCCATCATGAGCCTATGTATCATCTCTATAGACAGATACATTGGGGTGAGCTACCCACTGAGATATCCAGCTATAGTGACAGAAAAGAGGGGACTCCTGGCTCTGCTAAGTGTCTGGGCTTTGTCTCTGGTGATCTCCATTGGACCGCTCTTTGGCTGGAAGGAGCCAGCTCCAGAAGATGAGACCATCTGTCAAATCACTGAAGAGCCTGGCTACGTATTGTTCTCTGCTTTTGGCTCCTTCTACCTCCCCTTGACCATCATCTTGGTGATGTACTGTAGAGTGTATGTGGTGGCCAAAAGGGAAAGCAAAGGCCTGACTTCTGGCTTGAAAACGGAGAAATCTCATTCTGAAGAGGTGACCCTCCGGATCCATCGCAAAAACACCTCGGTACGGAGCAGATCTGCATCCTGCACAAAGAACAAAACGCACTTCTCAGTGCGTCTCCTGAAGTTCTCCAGGGAAAAGAAAGCAGCCAAGACCCTGGGGATAGTGGTGGGGTGCTTCATACTGTGCTGGCTTCCTTTCTTTATAGTCATGCCTATTGGTAAGTAAAGCAAAACACCTTAACCTTTTATAATAACTTCTGGGGCATAGGGGGATCTCTATTTGCCTTGCTATGTGTTAGAGCTGGTCCGCAAAACTTCGACAGAACCATTTTCCATTGGAAAATGCAGTTCCATCAAAACTGAAACACTTCTCAAAATCATGTCAATTTCACCAATAATTTGTTTAGTAAAATCTCGGGGGGAAATTTTTTTTCCACAGTGTTGAAAAATCTCATTTTGACATTATTGGAATGCAATGGTTTGATTTTTCATTTTGAAAGGACGGTTTGTTTCGATTTTTTATTATACATTTGCAAAAAGTGGAAACTGAAACAAAACATTTTTATTGAGCTGAAATAAAAAATTAAAACACAATCAGATTTTTCCTTTGCAGAGCATGTTACACATGTCAGGGTTTGTGACAATTTGGAAGAAAGTCAGTTTTGAATTCCTCCACCAAATGGAATTGTTGTCCTCTGGCCAGCTCTATAGACATTATGGGCCAAATCCTTAGCTGGCCTAAAGGACACAAGCACTGTTAACTTCAACACCAAAGTATCTCTTTGCAAATTTACGGCCGGATTTTCAAAGGAGCTCAGGGACCAGACTTTCAACTGCTCAGTACCCACAATCAGGTCCGGATTTTCCATAGTGCTCCCATTGTGACAATTATGGACAGATTTTCCAGAGCTAAGCACTCAACAAGCATCCAAAGTGCTGAGACCTGTTGAAAACCTGGCAATTTACCTTGGTGCCTAAATGAGAATTGAGCTCTTGATCATCTGCTGTTTAGTACTTGATCCAAAGCCCACTGAAACCAATGGAAAGGCTGCAATTGACTTCAGTGGGTTTTGGATTAGGTCTTTATTGCAAAAGAATTATTTTAGCTTCCCTGTATTTTGTTGCAAAGGTGACCTTTTATTACAAAAACCAGAGAGCGACTGCAAATATATTTCTCTTTGAAAAGAGTGATTAACTCAACTGTTTGCTAGTTGCAAATGGAATGACATACAGTTTCAAAATGTTAATGCATCCCTTAAAAAAAAACCGTACTCTGCATTTTAACTATGTTTGTGATGTAGCACAAGAGTCTGGTGTAGGTAATAGCTGGATTAGTAGACCAAATGGAAAAAAGAATGAACCACTCAAATTCTAGTGGGTTATGCTCATGGTTCTGTTTATTGTGGTTTTTAAATTCAAGGGCCAGGTAGGTGTTGGGAATCAGTTCTATGTATCAGTGTTTCTGTTACAGATTTAGCCGCTAAGTTCAAACTTCAGCATTGAAAGATTTGTTTAGAGAAAATGATTTTAATACAGAATTACTTACCCATTGTAATAAAATCCAGGATTCCACATGAATTACTGTTTTAGATGCCTGCAGAGCTTCCTTCCCCCCCCCCTATTTTGGGGATACAAGCAAAACACATACGAAAGAAAAACAGGCTATAGTTTATAAGCTGTGGTTATTAAATCAGTTCTTGTTCAAACTAGTTAAATCATCCTAACCATCAGCAAGCTAATCTCCTTGCAGCAGCCAATTTTTGCCAGAAGAAGCTTAAACAAGAGCTTTGAAATTGTGCCCTTATTGGAAAGCCTTATACAATTTCAGAAGCATGAAACCAATGAGGCTCTACAGCATCTTATGGAAATTACCCTAAAAACCTACAGAGTGAAATGGAAAATGATCTTCTTTCATCTATAGCTGCTTTGTGCCATTCTATAGGACTTCTATAGGGATATAATTCTCAATCAAATTCTAGGGGAAAGTTTTAAAAAAATAACTTAGAAAGGTGACCATTTTCAGTTAACTTCTATAGTATTCCAACATAATATTTCACTAAATCCTTTAGCTGTTATTGTCTCATGAATGTCAATGACTGCAGAGTCTATCTAATTCTGTCATCTGAAATGCTGGTCAATAATGGAAAAGTGTCTGAGTAAAGACTTAGACATTGCGTAAGGAAAAACCCCGGGAGGACTGGCTCTTTCTGCTCTGAGTGTCATTCTGTTGGAATGTTTGTTGCCAAGATGTCCCAAACATACCCAAAAAGGGTTTGAGAGCACATTACGCACACTTTGGTAAAAAAAATCCACAAATGTGGCTGCCCACACAGAGCTGCTGCTGTTGATCCATTTGGTTTAAGTTGAAGAAAACTTCCTTATTCAAAGCTGGACTTTGAATCTTTGATCCCTTATAAGGAAAGTTTCCTAAGGTTAGTCTTCCTATCTTTACATAGTTTCTCTGTTGTTTCAGAATCACATAATAAGTTTTTCCAAAAATCTGTTTGTCCTTTTTGTTAAAAGAAAAAAGAGTGCTAAACAGAAATGCAGCACAAAGAGACATATATTATGCAAAAACACTGTTACCTCTTGATCTAGGCTGTTTTCCTACCTACTTTGTATCACAGCCCCATAATGCTTAGCTTTTTTATATGGCGCTTTTCATGCATCATTATCCCCTTTTTACAGATGGGAAAACTCAGGCCCAGTGAGGGAAAGTGACTTGCTCAAGGTCACAAAGGTGGTTAATGGCAGAGTCAAGCATAGAATCCAGGGGCCAGATTTCAGAAATGCTGAGCATTAACAATGCTAGTTGAAGTTAATGGGAGCTGCAGGGTCTCAACAGTGCGGGCTAGAAAATAAGAATTCCATTACATGAAAAGTTTTGAAGTTCCACAGTTTGTACAGCACCTAACACCATAGAGTCATGGTCCATGACTGGGCTCCTGGGCATTACTGCGATACAAATAATTATAATAAAAACCATTTCCCAACTAATTCTATTTGAAACCTTTGACGCATTATGCAACCATATAATAATCAGAATAATCCTCGAAATACCCCTTGGAGGGATGTGGAAGTAACCATCAGTGAAAGCCCATATTAGTGATGTTGCCTTAAAGACTAATATATTTATTTGGGCATAAGCTTTGGTTTTTACCCACGAAATCTGTTAGTCTTTAAGGTGCCACCGGACTCCTCGTTGTTTTTGTGGATACTGACTAACACGACTACCCCCTGATACTTGATTAGTGATGTTGTGACGTTTGTGAGAAAATAAATGCAGTGCTGATCCCTTTAGCAGGATATGCAAATTTAAAATATTGAACATCCAAAAAAAAGAGAATCAACAACAGACCCTTGAAACCTATTGTAATCTTGCCCTTTATGGAATAAAACAACTACACCTCCACCCCAATATAACGCTGTCCTCGGGAGCCAAAAATTCTTACCACGTTATAGGTGAAACCGCGTTATATCGAACTTGCTTTGATCCTACGGAGTGCGCAGCCCCGCCCCCCGGAGCACTGCTTTACCGCGTTATATCCGAATTCATGTTATATCAGGTCGTATTATATCGGGGTAGAGGTGTATATGAAGAACTGCTAAAGAACGTTAATGGAGGTGTCTGTTCCCATGTAGATAGCTCAGTGCAAGTTGGGGTCCAGAGATCTAGCATCATAGTCAAAGGCAAGGTATAGTTAGGAGAGCACACCAAGTCTCTGGACATAATGAGAGCATGTCTGGGGAAACCTAGTGGTGTGGTGCTAGATTCCTGGCTGCTGTGTAAAGTGCATGTCAGCCTAGTTCAGACAGGCCAGGTAGGGTGCAACGCAAAGCTGAGAGTCAGCAATCAGAACAGGATCACGAGGAAGGGATACAGCAACCTGCACGACATGCTGTTCAGTGACTGATCAATGATGGGTGCCAGGGCCGGCTCTAGGATTTTTGCCGTCCCAAGCAAAAACAAGTTTTGCCGCCCCACCCCGTTTTTTTCTTACCCCACCCCCAGCCCCGCCTCATCTCCGCCCCTTCCCCAAATCCCAGCCCTGCCTCCTCCCCCCTTGCTCTCAAGCCTAGGAGGGAGGGGGAGAAGCAGCGCGCGCGCCGCGGCCACTCAGGGTCTCCCCCTCCCTCCCTCCCAGGCTCTCAAACCTGGGAGGGAGGGGGAGCAGCAGCACGCCAATCAGGTGTTTCACGCGCTGCGGCCGCTCGGGATCTCCCCCTCCCTCCCAGGCTCTCAAAGCTGGGAGGGAGGGGGAGCAGCGGCGTGCGAATCAGCAGTTTCACACGCCGCGGCCGCTCGGGATCTTCCCCTCCCTCCCAGGTTTGAGAGCCTGGGAGGGAGGGCGAGCAGTGGGGTGCGAATCAGCTGTTTCGCGCGCCGTGGCGCACGAGCGGCAGCAGCGGAGGTGAGCTAGGGCGGCCGGGGCACATTTTTAGGGGTGGCATGGCCGCCGCCAGAATGCCGCCCCTAGAAATGTGCCGCTCCAAGCACCAGCTTGTTTTGCTGGTGCCTAGAGCCGGCCCTGATGGGTGCAGAGATGCAAGGGGGAAGCTTTCTTCTCTCTGCGTTAGTAACCAATGTGTCCATAACAACAGTGTCTGTATCAATTACCTGTGCCTGGACTGGAAGAAGGACACTTGCAGGACCAGTGTAGTGTATCAGAGGGGTAGCCGTGTTAGTCTGGATCTGTAAAAAGCAACAGAGAGTCCTGTGGCACTTTTAAGACTAACAGATTTATTGGAGCATAAGCTTTTGTGGGTGAATACCCACTTCGTCGGATGCATGTGTAGACATTCCACTTGCATGCCTGCTCGCAGGGTGTACACAGGAATTTAAACATACCCAGGCTTTACACTGGGGGAGCATGTTCTTGTGAGCGACAGGTAGATCATTTCATCAGCCACAAGTTGCCATGTGCCCTCTCAAATACCTTAGGCAGAGAGAGCCCTCCAAAGTAGTTCAAGACCAGCCTCTGAATGGAGAGTGCTGGACAATCCTCGAGGTGAAATTAACACAGATAGGTGACAATCAGGAGGGGTTGGTTTAAAATCAGGGTAGGTAATGCCCTCCCAACCTTTCCTGAGGATCTTCCACTGCATGAGCACTTTCATTTTAGGCCAAGCTTTTAGGAGCCCTTATTCCCAGGATAGACAGCTGCAGGATAGGTATTAAGCCCATTTTACCCCCTTCTGGCTTGGTTGGGATGCTGTT